GTGCTAACCAACATATGTCAACAGATATGGAAAACAAAATGATGGCCAACAGATTGGAAGAGGTCATTATACATCCCCGTCCACAAAAAAAGAAGATACAAAATATTGCAGCAACTACAGGACCATAGCACTTATCTCCCATGCAAGCAAAATTATGCTCAAAATTCTGTAACATATAGACTCCAACCATACATGGAGAGAGAAATCCCAGAGGCACTAGGGACCACATTGCAAACATACAATAACTAATGGAGTGCACCAGGGAATTCCAAAAGAAAATTAGCATGTGCTTTATAGACTACAGCAAAGCCTTTGACAGCATAGATCATGAAAGACTATGGAATGCCCTTAAAGACTTGGGAGTGCCAATACATCTGATAGTCCTAATGAGGAATTTGTACTCAGAACAAGAGGCTACTGTCAGAACAGAACATGGAGAAACAGCATGGTTCCAATTGGCAAAGGGGTCAGACAAGGTTACATACTTTCACCCTATCTGTTCAACTTGTATGCAGAACGTATTATAAGAAAAGCAGGCTTGGACACAGAAAAAGAAGGAGTGAAAATAGGAGGAATGAATATCAACAATCTGAGATATATAGATGACACCATAATACTAGCAGAAAACCTCACAGACCTGGAACACCTGCTAAGGAAGATCAAAGAAGAAAGTGCAAAGGCAGGCTTAATGTTGAACATAAAGAAAACAAAAATTATGGCCACCGAGGACCTTCACAAGTTCAACCTAGACAATTAAGAATTAGAAATAGTAAAAGTATTCTCATACCTAGGATCAAACATTGATAGAAATGGGGACTGCAGTCAGGAAATCAAAAGAAGATTAAGAATGGGGAGGGTGGCTATGAAAGAATTAGGAAAGATCCTAAAATGCAAAGACATACAACTCAGCACAAAAGTCAAAATCATACAAGCCATCGTATTCCTTATTACTATGTATAGATGTAACAGCTGGACAGTTAAAAAAGATGATAGGAAGAAAATAAGTGCATTTGAGATAATGTGGTGCTGGAGAAGAGTGTTGAGGATCCCGTGGACAGCCAAAAAGACAAACAAATGGGTCCTAGAATAGATCAAGCTGGAAATCTCCTTGGAAGCCAAGATGACCAAAATGAGACTGTCATACTTCGGACTTTTCATGAGAAGAGGGGACTCATTGGAAAAGACAAGAATGCTGGGAAAGGTGGAGGGAAGTAGGAAGAGAGGAAGGCCACATGCTAGATGGATGGACTATATTAAGGAGGTCATGGATGTGGGGTTGCAGGAACTAAGCAAAGCAGTGGAGGACAGAGGGTCTTGGAAATATCTCATTCATAGGTCACCATGAGTCAAGATCGACTTGACGGCAGTTAACAACAACAGCAAATCCACATTGAACACCACATCCTTCCCTCACCAGTCTGATTTGCAAGGTTTCTCTTCCCATGGAAAAAAAGACCTCATTGAACACCACTTCGTTCCCTGCCCAGTCCGATTTGCAAGGCTTCTCTTCCCATGGAAAAAGGTCCCCATTTAACACCATTTCCTTCCCTTCCTAATCCCATTTGCAAGCCTTCTCTTCCCATCAAAGAAATACCCCTTTTAACTCCACTTCCTTCCCTTCTCAATCTGATGTTAAAACTTTTTCTCCAGTACCTGGGAATCTGTTGGGGTATGCAGACAGGTAGGATCTAGCATACACACATGCAGAGTTTATGCACAGAGGCAGGAACTCCCAGAAGATGGTCTTCTTTGAAGAATCTTGCTCCAGACAGCACAGTAAAAATCCTCCCACACACAGGCTGCTGCTTTCAGCTTAGAGAAATGAACCGCTGGATAGTAAGACTTCACTCATTGAGGGCTTTAATCTTTGTTGCAAGTATTTACAAAGATACATTGACTACCTGACATCCATCTTGAAAAGTCACAGCTATATAGACCAACAAAGTGCTTCATGAACCACCAACCACAACTAACCAACAATGGAGATTCTGACCCTCTCCAATATATAGGTGGCCTTCTTATGAACATGTGGAAACAATGCACTAATGAAACCTGACTGGTTTCATCAGGCCTGTTGCACCAGACCTCCCATGATGCATACCTGGCTGGTCTCACCCAATGTGCATGTTGCATCAGACCTCCCATGATGCTTTCCAAATGCTGACTGATGCACCTGCCACTTGAACTGTAGTAACCCTGTTACCATTGCTCCAGTTCCTTCCAGTGGCCATATCCATATCATTTTTCAGACCAGGGTGCCACATGGTCTTGATAGAATCAGTGTTAAGTGGTCAGGAGAGGTCCAGAGAAGGAGAAGGAGGGATGGAAGTAGTATTATTATAGCCCCCCTAAGTTTTACCCTTGACTTATTCATGGGTCATATCAAAATCCATGATTTTGACCTTGAAACCTTTCCTGGAGTTATACTTAAGGTGAACTTGTACAAGAGTATATACGGTAACCTAGGGGTAGGCAACCTTTCCCCTTTAAGGGCCGAGGGACTTCAGCTCCCAGAAGCCTCAGCCATGTAGGCCAATAGTCCCATGTTGGCCAATAGCTCCTGGGATTCTGGGAGCTGAAGTCCCTCAGCCCTTAAAGGGGAAAGGTTGCTTACCCCTGCCTTAGGCTGTTTGCTTTGGCTTCTGTGCCAAATGATCTAGGTAGACAATTGACCAAACAGTGGCATCTGAGGGCCTAAGCAGACTGCCAGAAATAGTGCACATTAAATTGAG